TAAAAGTTCTCTTTTCTCTTTGAGTCTTTTCTATCTCTGGAATAAACACATTTCTCTTTAAGGTCTTAAACATACAATACTTCTCTATAATAATTTGAAGGAGGAAATTTTCTGCTTACAACTCCCTTACATTTTAGGAGTTATCTTAAACACATAATTATCCTTACTTATTTGACAGGAGAAAATGCTTCATGTGCTTTTAAATGGGGATTAATTTACACTTTTTCAAAGTTTCTAGGCATTTAAAAGAACCACACCAAGACTTCAAGTTGTAGGAAGAAACAAAATATCCCAAGGCAATTAACAAGGACAAAAACAAGCAAACAGCAGCAAAATAAATAAAAACTAAGCAAAAAACCAAATTCCTCCAAAAACTGTTTAGTCTAAGTAGCCATGTGTCAATAAATGTAATTTTTTTTCTTTTTCTGTATTTCATAGAAACCATAATTCTATTTCAAAATTGATTAGGATTCATTTGAAAATAAAATACAGAAAAGTTCTAGTTTAATATATTTCCTTCCTAACTGCTTTCTAGGTTTTGTGTCCTCTCTTTTGTAAAATATGCTGAACTTTTAAAAAGAAAGTCATTGATAAATGTATGATTAAAAATGCAGTATATATTCTGGGGATTTATTCAAGTGAGCTCATTGGAAAGAGGAAAAAGTTATATGCCCCCAAATATCTATTCACTACTTCTTACAAAAGTAAAAAAAAAAAAAAAAAAAAAAAAAATTGATGTAACTTATAAACCTAAAAATAATGATTAATGATTAACTTACATCTAGTGTACTGAATGTTACATGTTGGCAAAAAAATGATAGTTATGAAAACTTTGAGGCAGCTTGGGGAAATACTTCTGGTAAAATAGCAAATGAAAAATGAAGATATACACATAAGATGAGAAAATCTAAACCTATTAACAATGGACAAATATGGGGAAGATACATTTAAAAATAAAATTCATATTGTATGACCATGGAATTGTTGATTTTCTTACTTCAAAAAAAAAAAAAAAAGGAAATCCACTTTTTAAAAAAAGTTGTTTTATTGTCCTCAATGTTTTTCTCTCTCTGAATTTGTATGTTCACCCTGAAGGAAAATGGATCAGAATCCCATCTTTAAAATGGAGTCAAGTTTCAGTGTTTCTGGATTCAGAGAATTGAACCTTACAAGTAGACCAAATACTTCTTCAGGAAAAATGAAGAGGAAAAGAGAGAGAGAACAAGAATAACAACAACAAAAAAGTGTAACAACAATAACAAATAAGTGGAATAAAATAATCAGAATAGTGTTATTAAAGAAATAATTTATCCTGCAGCCACATATATATATATATATTTTTTTTTCTCCCCCTGCAGCTGTATTTTTAACTCTCACAAACTAAATTTAATTCTCCACTGAAGATTAAGCCTTCCCCAAAAAAGCTGTGTAGGAAAAAATATGAAAGACAAATACCATGTTTATTAGTTGTCTCTAAGAACAAAAGAAAGCAAGAAGGAAAGAAAAGGAGAATGATAAATTATGGCATTCCAAGTTGGCCCATTCCTGTTCCTATCCTAGGAATGTGAGTCTTGACAAGAAAGAACCCTTCTCTCAGGTTAATTTTAGTGCTGGGCTCACTCAGAGGGGAGACGAAGCACCAATCAGCATCATTCAGTACCCCCAACCCCAGCCTAAAATAGCCAGATCACTGAGGCAAAACTGATTTGGGGGCTAAAAAGGTCTGCATCTCACCCGGGCTGTCTCCTCTCCCTTGTGTTCGTGCAGCCTCTGACTATACACAGAATCCCTTGGTGGGGGCAGGGGCGGGGGGAGGATTAGAATTCACCCAGACGTCTGATTTTTAAAAGAACTAATCAGTTTCAATTTAGCAATAGTTGGTCAATTTCTATTTTCACAAATTTGTATCTTCTCCTCTACTGTCATTTTAAAACGTTGGAAAGAAACTAATTTCAACTCACATTTAGACTTCCATTGTATTTTTTAAATGGGGGGGGGGGAAACCCCGACAAGTGAACTGAATTCAATGATTACGTTCATAATTTTTGTTTTCCTTGGAATCCAGGGTAGGACAAGGTGAGCTGCATTCTACAGGAGTTTAGAGGTCTGGATGGAAATTTTTGTGGGGTGTAACTTGCTTTTGTCTTAGGACTAAAGAGATAGAGTAGTGGGTTATGTTCCCCAGGGAGAAACCCTGAGAGGTGCTTCTATTAATTCTTAGAGATTTAAATTAAATGGAGGAAACAGTACTTAAAGTTTCTGGGAACTGCAATGCCCTGTCTAGGACCCTCTGCCTTATTCCCCAATGTAACAGAAAACATTTCAGCAGATTGGGGCTCCTATTTAGGAAGAGGCCAAGAACACAACAGCCTTTCTGAGACCATCTTTTAGCCCTTTCAAAAGTCCACACACATCACCAAGAAAAGTCCCCGGGCAACAGACACACATTCTGGCAAGATTTTTTTTTTTTTTTTCCTGGACTCTCAATTTTCCTCTTTATTCTCTTTGCTCTGCAGTTTGCATTAGCTGGTCTTTCATTTTTTAAATGTTTATTGAATGCCTACTACGTGGCAGACACCGCTTCCAGCTCGTGGGTTTGTGTGAAAATTACGGTCAAGAGCTGACTAAATATTAAGAGTCAGAATCTGCGGGGAAGGGCGGGGGGTGGGGGGCGAGGGTCGGAAGAGGTGGTGGGGGGGCTAGGATACAGATGTCGCCCACCTTCCTGCGTAGAAAACAACATTCTTTTTCTACTCAGCAACTAACAGCTCATAGTATTTTAATTTCTGTTGCCCCAAGCAGAGGGGGGAAAAAAAAACAAACAAAAAAAAAACCCAACAACCCGTCACAACCCCCCAAATCCGACAAACACGTGGCTGGCTAGAACAAAACGCGGATTTGGAGAGTGGGTTTTGAAGGTGGTGATGGAGAAAACCGAGTTGGAAGCCCTCCCCCCACGCCCAAGCCCCATTTCTTTGCAGCGCGCGGGGAAAACCGGGAGGGGGACAAAGGTGCGGCGTGTGGTCTTTTAACTCCCGACTTTTTGAACGGTATAAAATCGTCTGACAGAAGAGCGGTGTGCCCAAGTCGGGGAGTCAGCTCACTGACTCTGCAAACAAAAAATAATAACAAGGAAAAAAAAAAAAAATCCAAGGCATTCATATCAGTGCAGCCAACACGTGTTGCGGAGCCGGCCCGGGCCGCAGGCGACTGAGACAATGGGGTCGGGGACGGGGAAAGGGAGAGTGACCCCCTTCCTCACCTGCCCTCGCAGCACGCGTGCCCCCGACAGAATTGTTTCTCCCTCCCGCAGAACCCGGAGCAAAACCCGAGCTTCCGCCCAGTGCAGGGAGAGTCTGGCGTTACCGGGGGTCCAGTCCCTCCCCCTTTCTTTTCCCGACCCTCGGGCCTGGGGGGGCTCCGAGGTCCCCGGGCCGCGCTCTCCGCCACCCGCCCCCCCACCCCCCGGCGCCGTCCCAGCCCCCTCCGCTGGAAACTCGTTGCCCTCGCCCGCCACTCGGCCCGGGATCCCGGTTGCGCGTGGACCCGCGCGTCCCGCTCTCCGCCGCCTATCCGGGACTCCGAAACGCGCGGCGAACTGCCCCCTCCCCCACCGCCGAGACGGGGTGCGACCGCCCACGTGTCGCCCCTAGCCCAGTCGGGTCCGTCCCTCGGGCTCCCGGGGCCGGAGGATCCGGAGCGAGTTGGTCAAAGGCGAGGAAAGGGACCAGGGCGGATCCGCTTCCCCCTCCCCAGGAACGGGCGGGGGAGGGGCCACCGCCCCCTCCTCCAAGCTCCCGCCCCTCGCTTCCCCGAGCGCCGAGCGGAAATTACCCCCTCCCCCCGCGGGTCTGACCTGGGGACGTGGGCGGGGCTTCGCGCTCGGCCCCCCGCCCCCGGCCCCTCTCCCGCCTTCCCGCCCGGATCCCACCGCTGCACCCCAAACAAAGTTCCGAGCCCCTAACCCGGCGCTGGGAAAGCTGCGGTCGCCGGCCTGGGTGGGGCGGGCGGAGGGGACTCCACCTGTCTGTCCCCGCAGTCAGGGAGGGAGAAGGGGAGCGTTCGGATCTCCACCCGGTCACTCCCTCCCTGAGACCTCCCCCTTCGGTTCGCTCGGGTCTGCTCACGCTACCACTCCTCTTCCTCCTCTCCACCCCTCCCTCTCCTGGGGTCAGCTTGGGCCGGAGCCGCGCGTTCCCCCAGGACCCTGAGACGGCCTCGTTCAGCAGCCGAACCCCGGGTGCGAGCCACCCTTCCCCCGTGGGAATCCCGAAACATGATTTCTCGCGGCTCCCTCGTTCCCAGCCGCGGTCCCCCGCGGTCTCGGCTTCCCGGTCCCGCGCTCGCAGGGTCCCTCGGTCCCGGATCCCCGCAGGCGGGGGAGTCTCCCAGGGCTGGGGCCGGGAAGGCCGAGACCCCTCACGTAAAAATCTAGGGGAAAAGCGCCTCTCTTTTTAAAATCGCCGGCTCGCGCGACCCCCGCCTGAAGACCCCAGAGTCCTCGGCTTCTCTTTGTCTATCTCGGCCGTTCCCCGCCTGTCAGTCGCTAGCAGTTAACCGGGGTAGGGTGGGCAAACTCTCCCCCCAGCCTGCACACGAATAAAAAAATAACCGTACGTTTTACCCATAAAGAGGTGGGAGATTCAGGGCCCGACCACCCTCCCCCCAAGCCGGGGCCGGGGTAGGGGGATGGGCGGGGGCGGGGCGCCTCCCTAGGGGCCAGATTCTCGCCAAGGGGGAGGGGGCAAGCCGAGCCTCGGGAACGCGGCCCCCGCCGCCCTGTTTTCCCCCCGGGGGTGAGTTGAGTGCCCCCTCCCCCCGCACCCCAGGCTAGGGATTGGTGGGCAGGGCCGGGCTGAAGGGCCGATGGGCCCAGAGGCGTCGGGGGTCTTCCCGAGCAGGGTGGGTGGGGGCTTTCACCACGTGGCTTCGCCTTTTTTTTTTTTTTTTTTTTTTTCCGGTCCATTTTTTTTCAAGTCGATTTTATTTAGAGGCGGCGCCAGGGCGGCCGCGGAGAAACGTGACACACCAGCCCGCTCGGAGGGGTTTCGGACAGAAGGGAAGGAGCAGCGCCGAGTCGTCCGCCTCCCAGCGCGCCGCGGGCACTTCTCCCGGGCCTCGCCGAACTCTCCCGCGACCTCTGCGCGCCCTCAGGCCGCCCTCGCCGCCGCGGGCTCCGGACAACTTCAGGGGTGGGGTGCGAAGAAAGTTTGCGGCTGCTGCCGCCGGCCTCCCGCCTCTCGGCCTAGGAGGCTCGCCGCCCGCGCCCGCCCGCCCGCTCGGCCTTGCCAGGGACCGCGTCCCGCCCCGAGACCGCCACCATGAACAAGCTGTACATCGGCAACCTCAACGAGAGCGTGACCCCCGCGGACTTGGAGAAAGTGTTTGCGGAGCACAAGATCTCCTACAGCGGCCAGTTCTTGGTCAAGTCCGGCTATGCCTTCGTGGACTGCCCCGACGAGCACTGGGCGATGAAGGCCATCGAAACTTTCTCCGGTAAGAGTGCGCCCACCTCCCCGGAAAAACCACAACGAAATCCCCGAACAACGGAGACCTGCCCCTCTTCTCTCCTGGCCCGCCAACTCCTCTGTCCCTCCGTCCGGCCTGCGGGGCTTGGCCTGGGCACCCACCCTCCGCCCGCCTCCTTCGACGCCCCCTGCATCCCCCCGACTCGCCCCTCGCGCGGAAATATCCCGGACCTCCTCACCCCTTCCTCCCAGCCCCAGAGCAGAAGCTGGAGGCTTTAGTAAGGCCGCCCCTGCCCCCCACCGACGGGGCGGGGGGCCCCATTGGCTGTGTGTGTGTGTGTGTGTGTGTGTGTGTGTGTGTGTTGGGGGGGGTCCCCACTCTGGCGGCCCCGGTCCGGGCATTATTTTCACGTCCGCCCCTCCCTATCCGAGGCTGGCCGCCCCCCACCCCACCCCCCTCGGCCCCCTGTGCGAACACCCCCTGCTCCCGTTCCTCCGCTCTAGGCCTTTCCAGGCGGGGAAGGGGTCCCCGCTCCGTCTCCGATCTCCCGGGAGCCCGGTGGGGACTGCAGCCTTCGGGCAGGACCTGAGACGAGGGGGTCCCGCCTCCCGCCCAGGGCCTGGGCTTGAGCCATTTTGATTTGAAAGTGGGGCGTGAGCGGGGTGGCGCGGCGGCGGCGGCGCCGGGTCGCCATGCTGCTTCCCGAGACGCCCAGGCTGGGCCGAGAGGCGCGCGTCGCGGCCGCCGGGGACCCTCCCCGCGGGGCCCCGCACCGCTCCCCCAGGGCCTCTGCCCACCACCGGCCCCGACAGGTGAGCGCCCCGCCGCCGGGAGCCCCTCTCCGCGGCAGGACGGGAAACTAAAGTTTCATTCTGCACCCCTCCCCCGCCACACACTTTGGGAGCATCGCGGGGGGGGCCCTTTCTCTCCCGGCCCCTGCTCCCCACATCTGGGAGTCGAGCAGGCAGCCCGCCCACACGAACGCCCTCGTCGCCCCTTTCCCGGATCCGGCTCCCAGAGCGAGCCACTGCCCAGCCAGCCTCGGTGGGAGAACAGAACGAAACGAAAATTAACAAAACACAATAACGAATTTATAGATTCCACCATTCCCAGAACGGCCGTTTCGCGTCCCGGCCGCGGAACCCACTGCCTGGATTCCTAGGCAGATCTCAAATCCCAGGAACCTCTGAGTGCCCCTCTTTCTCCGTCCCTTTCCCACCCCACACTCCTGTTCCAGCTCTTATATGGTCTTTTTTTTTTTTTTTTTTTTTTTTTTTTTTTAATCTTTAGGGAAAGTCGAATTGCAAGGAAAACGCCTAGAGATCGAACACTCGGTCCCCAAAAAACAAAGGTAGGAAAGGGCTCTTTGAGAAGGGAGGCAACCTGGGGGCGCTTAGAGGCTGTGTTAAGGGGTCCATAGTGTCTCCAGTGGAAGAAACCCATTACTGGCCTTCCCACCCCCAACTCCGGATGTTGGGGGCAGGGAGGGAAGATTGGCTAAGATCTTGTAATGGGTGGTTTACAGCTTGTAAAAAATAAGCCGGGTTTGGGGTGGGCTGGGAGAGATGGTATTTGGAGAAGTAAAAGGGAAAAAAATCAAGAGGGGAGAAGCCTTGTGGAGTTGATTCAAGGTGTATGGGGCCATTTTTATGGGGAAGCTAAAAATCTTTGAAGAGTTGGATCTCCTGGGCATTGCTGCAACTTCTAGCAGGCCTCATTTTTTCTTTTTTCTCCACCCATCCCTTAGCATAATTCTTAAGTGGATTGGGGGGGGGGTCCCCTTCAGTTCCCTAGGGGAAGTGGATTTGGAGTTCCTGTCCCCAAAAGAATTGTTTGGGGTTTATATGTATTTCTGCAACAGGCAAGGACCTTTTTTTTCTCAGACCCCTACTCTTAGTCCCTCACATCACACATCCTCCCCTCCCAACTGGATTTTGCAAAGAATATGCTTTGGCTGTGTGCTATCCTTTCCGAGCCCCCCCCCCCCCCTTCAGTCCATTGTTACAAGGGGACCATCTGGGGTGAGAGCTTTGTGTTCAGGCTGTGAGCTGGGGCTCTTTGGAGGGTCTAGAACTCCCTGGATGAATAGTGGAGAGAGAGAGAGAGAGAGAGAAAGAGAGAGTGTGTGTGTGTCTGTGTCTGTGTCCCAGTACCTTTCTGTTCTCACTGAAGCAAAAAGTGGGGTACCTCTATCATGTTCCCCCCAAATCTGATTCATGGAGGGGGGGGGGTTCCAGATCTTTTCACTGAACTCTGGCTGGGAAATTATAAGAACAGAGTCGGCTCTCTCAAATCTGACTTTAAACATGTTGACAGCGCAGTTTTCTCTCCTGTGGCAGCTCCCAGGAAATTTTTGAGCCCTGTGTTACCCTCTCCCCTCCCTAGGTGTGTTCTCCCCCTCATTTCACTGGAAACTTGCTGCACTGAGAATAATCCCTGGCCTTTTTCCCGGGTGGGGAAGGTGTAGGTGGGTGGCTTTGGTTTTTTGTTTTTTTGTTTTGTTTTGTGTTTGAGCCTGGGAAGTTTAACTGCAAAGTTTAAGTCAGATAAAAATCTGTTCGGTGGTTTTTGCTTTGAGATATTTTAAGTAACTTGGAGCTATTGTATCTATAGATGATCAATATGGCTTGTAACCATGTTTATAGAGTCTGTGATTTAACCTCACAGTGCTTCTAAGACTCTTATTGGAAAGGCAATTAGAGTTAGGAGTAAAGAGGCAATAAAATCGGAAGGACGGGGGGCAAAAAAAAAATGCTTATTTATTATTTTGAAACATTTCCTGGAGATGGGAATGAGAGCAGCATACTGACACCAGTAGATTTATTGAGAAGATTGTGGCTGATTGAACTGAAAGCTGAGTGTTTGAAACGTGTTGATGAGAGAGATCCAGAACAACTGGAATTCTGAAATATGTAGGATTTTTTTTTTCCCCTTTGGCGCTTCAGGATGGTTTAAATTGTAAAGAGAATGCATCGAAGGCAAGAGAAATAGCAAAACGTGATGAAATGGGACCCAAAACATTTATACTTTAATTTCCATGGTGCTCTGTATTTATGGATCTTACCCCCTAAGCCATCTGTTTGCTTTCAAGCCATTTTTAGGCTCCTTCTTGTTCCCTCCAAAATGCATTACTTAGGGCCCTTTTGAGTTGGGAAGGGGTGGGGTTTGTGAGAAGAGTGGGTACAAAATCTTCCTTTCCCTATCCATATTAAATTCCATCTTTTGTGTGTTCTTCCCGTCCCTGAAATAATTTTTTGAGCTCAAACACTGAGTCAGTTGTGTGTGTGTGTGTGTGTGTGTGTGTGTGTGTGTGTTTGCGGGGTGGTGAGAAGGCCCTTCATTTTTCTAAAATGAATCAATTTTTGAAATTTTAGGATTTAAAAAAAGAGTTTGTTTGCATGAAGTCCGTTTGCTCTATCATTTTGAGTTCTTTGAAGGAAGCATTTTGTGGTATGTGTTTTTTAGTTCGTCTGTCTGAAAACCAGTTCTTCAGTTGGTCTGGGACTGGCCTTTTCAGTCTCGTGGATGTATAAAAAACAGGATCTAGTGAATTAACTATAACCAATATTTGAAGCAAGATGAACAACTGTGCATGTGTATTTTGTGTATGTGTACTTCTTTTCACTGTTTAAAGAAATAGAAGTAACTATTTTTGGTGCACTCAGTTCCAAATGAGATATGACTTGACACATTTCTGAGACATTCAAGAAAGTCTAAATCCTATGTGTTCCTGTTTTTTGTTTGTTTGCTTGGTTTTTTTTGGGGGGGGGGGGGATCAGACAAATGATAGAAGGTTACAGCAGTTACCTTAGCATCCCTGACACTGAAGTATGCATCTATTTTGTTCTAAGTTTGTATCTATTTGAATATAATTTGTACCTTTTTAAGAACCCAAGAGACCGAGCACTATGTATTTAAACTGAAAACATGTTTAATTTTAATTTTTAATCGGGTGACATTCGATTTCTTCCACCTTTCCAAACCCCTTCTTAGCCAAACTCCTTTTTTTTTTTTTTTAACGTTTACTTATTATTTTTGAGACAGAGAGAGACAGGGCATGAATGGGAGAGGGTCAGAGAGAGGGAGACACAGAATCTGAAACAGGCTCCAGGCTCTGAGCCGTCAGCACAGAGCCCGACGCGGGGCTCGAACTCACGGACCGCGGGATCATGCCCTGAGCCGAAGTCGGACGCCTAACCGACTGAGCCACCCAGGCGCCCCAAACCCCTTCTTTAGACAGTGTTGGCATTCTGGCTAACAGTTTTGGCTTTTTGCTGAGAATTTGTGTATGTTCACTGTCAAATATTAGGACAACGGAGAAAAGCCAAGAGCATTTTTAAAACAGTTGTGGAAAGGGTTCATATATGTGTTTTATTTTGAGAGACATAAGAGTCCTTAAGGTAAGGGGGGGGGTCCCATTTTAGACCTGTTTACCTTGGGAAATGACTTGCTTTTTTAAGGGAATTAAACTTTTATTTCATTTGCCATTGTGTGTGCCTTTTTCTGGAGGAATGTGACGTAAAGACAGCATACCTACTGTCAACTGCTGTCATAAAAATAAAAGGTGTTGGCTGTTAAGAGAAAAATGCAAGAGGGGCACTGCCTTTCTGCATGAAATGTGTTCAACTTAAAAGATTGATTTTCCTAGGCAGGTTAATGGTGGTTCTTTTCTCTAAGCTGACTTAAAATGAGGCGGGCTAACCCCTTTCCCTTTAATTTTCCAACTCTTACTAAAAAAAAAAAGCCCAAACAGAAATTGGGTGTCAGAGCCACGGAAGCGTGGGAACCCTCCAAAAGGGCTTCCACTTTATTCTGATTTTACAGTTGAACTTCCCAAAGTTAGCAGCTTTGGAAATCCGTGCGAAGGGGATGTCCTGTAAGTGGCAAAAATATTATTTTTAATTTTAAGTGATTTGCTCTGAAGTCCTTGGATCACTAAATGTTTTCAAAACAAGCAAAAAGATTTTGTCTTCAGAAATGGATTTGTCTTTAATAACCATTGTTCTCAGGGGCTGAAAATGAATTATAAGGGGTTTAAGAAGCAAGGGAATGTCTTTAAAAAAACAACAAAGGAGTAAAAAATACAGGAGTGGGAGGATTTTCAGGCACTTTTACTTTAGTGGTTGCAGTTGAAAGATACATCTGACCTGTATTAAACCAGTAAGTTTCACACTTTTAGTAAAAGGTTTTCTTGGGAGTATGTGGTTAGGGCTTTTTTTTTTTTTTTTTTTTTGCCTTGATATAAATTTAAAAATGGTTGATTCTTAAATTTTTCTGCACTCTTTGGAGAGGGAAGGTGGAAATCAATTCACTCTCACTTAAATTTCCACCTAGCATGTAAACCTTACAAATTCGTGAGTTATGTTTTCTTCGCTGCCAGAGAAACCCTTCACTTGTTGCCATTTAGGGCACAGCATTTCAAGATCTTTTCCTAAGGACAGTGGCGTTTGCCCGTCCATTGGAAGAGTTGTGGGTTGCTAGAATCTTTTCTTTTCTGACCCAAAGTCAAAAGATGAAATTTTCCTTCAGTGCTTTCCCCGATGGAGAACTCTGGAGGAAAGGAGAGGAAAAGTTGTAGTTCCCATCGCTAATTTATTCCAAGTATAGTCAACTCTTCCCAATGTACAATTTTAATGGCATAGCTTTTGGTGGAAAAAGCAAAACATTCTTGTAATTATGTTTCAGAGATGAAATACATGACATTAGCAGTTGGAAAAAATCTTGATTCAAAGGTTCTGAGCTTCTAATCTTTTCAAATTACCTTAATATACATCATTTGAATCTATGTCATGTGTCTGGGTAGTTTTAAGGCTTATTTTGTAAGAGTTTATTCTATACTTTAATGTGTAGCAGCCAGCTGACAAAGATTACCACTGAGATAGGCTAGGGAGGATACAATTATAAAATATTTTTAACAATTTCAGATCTGGTTTGGTTGAGTAAAAAGGGGGGGGTGGTGGGGAGACCAGCAAATGCTGTGTGAGATTTGGGTGGGGGGGGGGTTGCTGAAAGACGTATACGGGTTTTATCTCTTGGGTGGCAATGTTGTCATTAGAATGAAAGTGTGAACCAGAGGCGATTGAAGAACAGACATTTTGCCAGCTGTTAGGATTTGAGTCCAGTCTCGTTCTCTGTCCGCCCCCTATAAAGATTCCTAAAACGTGGCCGATGCCTTCCAGAAAGTGCAGCTTAGAATTTGGGATGGGAGTGTTGAGGGAGAGGGGAGAGGAGGGGAAGGGGAAAAAAAAAAAAAAAAAAAAGCAACAGCAGCAGGGGAGACTGGAGAAATCAGACGAGTTAGTCCCGGGTTGGAAATTCCAGACGGGGGAAAAAAAGAGAAAGAGAGATGGG